TTTGTAATTTTTTAAAAGTGAGTATTGCAAAAGTTTGATTTTTGATATTATGATAAATGTTACAGAGATTATTACATAATGATGTGTAATTGTTTTTTGAATAAATAATTTTTTGAAATTAATTTTTGCAGAAATTGTAACTGATCTTTGCGTCAAGTAATAAATGCAAGGAGTACTGTATAACTATCTGTACTGCCCTTTTAACAATAAATCATTACATATTTAGAATATATTATTTTCACGTAATTACGAGTTGATTTACAGTTTATGGACGAAACCACAGTTTTTAATGAAGCAAAGAATAATAATAATTTTGATTATCTTGAAAGAAAAATCACGTACTTTTTTAAATTACTATAGTGCAGACTTTTTTTAAGTGAGCATATTTTAATGCATTGAGGTATGCATTATTTTATTTACATTCAAAAAATGTTTAATTTAACAAACAACTGATCTAATACGACCACTTTTATAAGATAAAAGTACTGAAATATGAATGAAAACTGACTACACAAAAACGTAAATTGAACAAATAATGAATAATTTATAATACCGAGCTCACATGAACTTTTGGATTTAAATATGACCAACTTTTACGTCATTCCTCAATTCAATTATTTCATTCTGACACTTTACCTTTACAATTTAAAGGTTGCAAAATATTATTCAAAAAATTTATATTTTGGAAATGAAAATTTTTTTTAGCATTATTCAGTTGTTTATCGAAATTGTATGACATTTTCAATGTTAGCATAATACTTCATCAACTGTTATTCATTTGTGCTTTTCTCACCATTTTATCAAGTTATTATTTCCTGTTATCACCACTGTAATGAATGAGCGCAAATGAAGTTTGAATTCACTTTTTTCAAAATATTCACAGCAACTGCAATATATTTTATTTACTTTAATTTCGCTTCAAAATTATTGCAAACAAAATATAGATTTTATATGAACGTGTTTATACACATTTTGATAAATGTGAAAACATTTTAAAATATGCATGCAAATAGCGTGTAAAAGCTTAACGCTGAAATATTGACGGAAAAAATGCTACAAAAAATGTTTAATTTTTCTTGATTTGTTTTATTCAGTTATTTGATGAAAATTTAATTCTTAACAAAATCAAAAAATATTTAAAATATTAATACGTTTATATACAAATATTAGTGTATGAATAATAAGCATATAAAAAGTTATGCAAATATATATTTAGACAAATATTTAGCTTATTAAAACTATTTTGTATTAACATAATGAGAAGGAATAATTTGAAATGATAGAACTTTTTTGCAAATGAATTCAGTAAGTTGATAGTGATTCTAAGCTAAAATATTCCCAATGCTTCAGTAAGAAAATTTTATTACTTGCTAATTTGATTACGATTAAATTACTGATGATTGATATTAAAATGATTGTATTCACTTGAGATCACCGTATAATCATTATTATTTTGTTAAAAATTATTATCAATAATAGACAGTATAAATGATCGCAATAGTAATATATACTTCTTTAGAGCGAACTTGAATCAAATAAAACAGTGGTCAGCTTATGAAAAAAGCTGAATGAACAAGCAATCATTAATATTTTGATGATCTGTTCAATAAACCACTATTAGTTTATGTTTATTACTGAAATAATGCGTAAAAAAACAAGCTAATAGAGACAAATATATGGAAGTCAAAAATTACTGGAATCAAAAAACAAGTTTTAATTTCATTATTGAATTTAAAACTCGACTACTACTTCCTGCTCGATGTGCAATTGCAATCCGTATTGCAGTATCGAATACATTACGAACGCCCTGAAATTTAATTTTCTTTGCAAAATAATTTGTTTATAAATTCTCAAGTTCAATATTTAATACAATGAGGGTAATTGAATAAAAATAATTAAAATTATTGAAATTTTTCATTAATTTTTTTATAAACATTTATCTGCGTACTGTTATTATTGTTGATTATTATCAGATTATTATCAGAAAAAAATGATGCAATTATTTTTATATTGAAGTAATCATTTTAGCAAACTGAAATGAAATAGTACGTGAAGAACAGTGATATTTAAAAAAGTTTTGTCCATGTTTTTTCTTATGCTTATATTATTTAGCCTTTGCATTAGGTGCGTCGAAAATTTCTCCTGCGTAACATTCAGAAACAGTAAACGCTTATTTTACTTATTAAGTAAGAATTTCTAACAGTTACAAACTTTGATGATTTTATCGCAGTAACTATCGTTCGTTATATAAATATTACAGCTGCAAAATATCTAAGTTTTCTACTCAACTTTCCTTAAACTATGCATAATTTCATATTCCAAAATTGAAATTTTTAAAAAGTTCAAATAATTAAATAAATCTGTAAACCATTTGACCTCTTTTGTCTTTGCAGAGCACTCAATAACTTTGTGGGATGAAAACTGCTTGGCACATGCGACCGCGTCATCAAAATTCACCAATTGCCTTTGATTTTCACAGTTAGTAGTAGCATTACTTGTCTTCCTACGACGTTGTTCTTGTTCGTTACGAATATCCTTTTTGTTACCAACAACTAATATTGGAACATCAGGACAAAACCGTCGAATCTGTACACTTTTTAATACATTAATTTATTCATTTTTGAGTGTAATAAATTCAGCAAAATATTGTAATAAATTTATTTGTAAAAAGTTATCAAAATAAATTACATTGAAAAATAAAAAATTTCTAGCTTGGACGGTTTGTAATATTATCTATATATATATATGAATATTTATTTATTTACACATAAAAATCAAACTGAGAGTATGCAAACAAAAATAAAAAACAAGAACTACCTCAGGTATCCATTTCTCCTGAACGCTTTTCAAGGACTGAGGTCTTTCAACCGAGTAGCATACAATAAATACATCAGCATCTGGATAACTTAACGGTCTTAGTCTATTGTAATCATCCTCACCTGCGGTATCACACACTGTCAGCACTTTCTAAATTTTTAAGTTAGATTTTCAAAGTTTATCTAGAAATGATTTCAAGTTTACCACGAAAATCTCAAAAGTATCATAAAAATTAGTCTTTGCACAAAAATGTGCAATAACTGATGGAATTGACAGACGAAGATAAAACTTATTGCCAATAATTTTTTAAAACTTGAATAAACTTTTATTTGCAGTACTTTCATTCTTCACAAACTGTTTTCCAACTATTATGATTTAAGTTTGTTATTCGCGTATTTTGTCATTATTATCTTGATTTCCTCATTTTACATGAAAAAAATTTTATTCTCTTTCTTAATGCATTTTATTAGCGTCATCAAAATAACTGTAAATGATTGGAAATTTTTTTGCATTTTTTAAAAAATCAGCATTTTTGTACTTATTTTTCAGCAAATTAGACATCAAAGAAGCTTTACTTGTACCGTTTTGCCGTTAATAAATGCTTCGATAGCGTAGTCATCAAATGCTGTGGGTGTATACTGCTCGTTAAATTCACCTCCACCTTGAGCAATAATTAGACTCGTTTTACCGCAAGCGCCATCTCCAACAACCACAAATTTAAATTGTTTTCGGGTCATAGACCAACGTTTTCTACGAAAACAACTACAACAACACAAGCAATTTCCCGAACTCGACTGAATTTTAATATGAAGTTATCAAATTTTAACAGTTTCAATAAGAATAAACCACAGCAAATACAGCAGGGGAATTGTCAGCGCTGAAACTAATAATATTACTAATTCATTCGGCTTTTCTTCTAAAAAATTTAAATGGTTATTTTAATTGTTATTGACATAAAGAAAAATCAGTCGACACGAAATTATTAAGTAATAAATGTATAGTTTAGTTTTGAATGATCATGAAGTGCTAGTGAAAATATCAATTTGGTTTACTTTTACAAATAATAAATATTTGATTCATTTAAATACATGGTCTGATAATAATTATAATTAAAAAGTTTAGTATGATAAAATTTACAAATCCATATGAGCAATGAATTAAACTTTTGAATGTGAATTATATAAAATATACATAAAAAATATCGAAGTGAATTTTCGAAATATGACAGGATTACTTATAAAATTAGCAGCAATGAGATTTTTAATTTTTATATATTTCTAGATCAAAAAATCAAATTCAAATGAGAGTTAAAAAGGATTACATAGAAAAATTTTTCTTTTAAAAAAATTTATTTTTACTATAAAAATATCAAAATTAGCATTTAATTATTATATTCACAATGCCTCATCACACATTACAATGCAAAATTTTCCATACATAATGCTTTAAAGCACAAATAAATGAAAATAAATTATTCAGAACAGTTGATTTCTTGCAATTTGAAATCTTAGAAAAATGATTTTGTCAGAATAACGCTAAAACAAGTCAATAAATTTTTCACATTCTTAATTAATATAATAATGACAACTTGTTATAAAAATTTTTGTACATACTCGATAAATATAATCATCAAAAATATTTTCGTGTAATTAATTGTTTGGTTAAAGCATCATTTAAAATTTTTATTCTTGCAATTTTTATTACTTTTTAAAAGATAAATGTCCATGGAATGTACAAAATTTTTTTGCCAGATATATTTTTGTGCCGTTTATAAGCAACTACACTTAATCCCTAATTACAATAATAATTTGAAAATAATATTAATGAGTTAACAAGAATAAAGCTGAATTTACTTGTAGAAAAGTGAGATTGTTCTAACCGTGCAGACTTTTTTATCCTTTAACAAATTTAAATGTAGTTTGCAGCAGTTATTTGCGTAATTTTGGGGCAACATCTGTGCTGCCTTCAAAATCTAATTTTAGTACAAGTGATTATAATTTCAATTTTGCATACGTAATTGCCATCAACTGTGCATTAGCACTTGTATTTTTTGCCTTCTAATGATTCTTACATGCACAGTTCACTTATACTTTTTTGTGTGTGTTATAAATAGCAAAATGTTCTTAAAATAAAGTAAATATTTTCAGCTCAAAAAATTGTTAAATAAAAGAATTTATGCAAATTTTGTGAGTAGATTGATTCAATTCAATCCTTTCAAAAGTGATAAAAAATAATCACATAAAGAATATATATTTATTTAAGTTCAAAAGTTAATACTTTCATTACAGTGCAAAGAAATAGCATTAATTCACAACCTAAAAAATTTCAACTTTGTATTAATCTCTAAAATACGCAACTTTTAAGTCGTAAATTAAAATGATTCAGAATTAAGTAACTCTACTATTTGCAATCAAAGGTTGATCATAATTTGCTTCAAAATATCATTAATGTTCCTTCGAGCCATTTAAAAATATTCTATCATTAACTTGTAACTTTTTAATTTTACAAAAATATTCTGTACACATGTAGAATTGAATTTTCCAAAGTCACAGATGAATAAAATTATCAAATAGACATTGCTGAAGCAATTTATTTCTTTAGAAATATCTACCACATCAGTAGGCTCTATTAAATTGGGTAACAAATATCATCTGAATATCTGATTACACTTTATTACATTTTATTACAACTTTATATTTGATTACATTTTATTACAAAATTAAAAAACGATTCTAAATGACTAAAAAAGAAGGATTCTTTTATATTTCTTGAAAGTAATAAGAGTTTCCTCCAACTAAATCATTTAACCCAAACAGATATTTTCAAACAAATAAAACTTTTTGTTAAAAGTACTTTGATAATTAACAGTACCGCATACTGTTCAAAATTTTGTTACTATAGCTTTTGTTGAAAATTTTTGATTAATATTTTTTCATAGCATTGAATTCCAGCGCAAGAATATTCTATAAATATGGAACAATAATTTGTACTGAAATTAAGAATTTATCAACCTTGAATTTATTACAAAAAGCTTTACAATTTTCCGTAGATTTTCATTGCCATTGCCTTTAATTCTTGCTGTCTAATACAAGCAGTATTTCATTTTTGCTCTACAGTTCATAACGAGGATATTATATTGTTGCATCAGATATCAATTTCTGTTTGATATTTAGAAAATATATCTTCTGAACTGATCAGTAATTGATCGTCCTTAATTTTTTGAATTTAGTCCTAAACATCTCAATTATCAAATATCATTTTCTTAATTCTAAAATAACAGTTAAATTCCAAATATCTGCATATTCTTTTGTTACCATTTTTACCATGAATAAATGATTTATTTAATATTCATAAATCGCGCCCTTATGACCAATCTTAGTTGGACATATGTAGCAAGAATTATTTTAGTAATAATTCCTCTACTGACTTCAGTTATCCTTTAAAACTGTTATCAATCAACTATTTTTGAATATATTTAATCTTATTTTGAACAAAAAAATCTATACAATTAACTTTATAGACATTCTTTTCCAATGAAGATGCCTAAATGTAATATTACTATATGGATAAATTCAAAGTGCCACAAATGTGCATATTAATAACTATATTAAAAAATGTACTTATTTTAAAAAGAAATAAA